CTATTAATCATTTATCATATAGATCTAATCGAATATTAACAATCCAACCAGAGTCCTGGTTTTTAAACTACAACAAATATTCTACAAAATGTTGTACTTCTTGATAACATTTGCTAGATGCAGTCTGAAACTTTTGAATAGCATTATAGAGATCGCGTTTATGAATTGTATATTCAGGAAATTTTACTATCAAAAATAGAAATATTTGCTTAGACCCTATATTCCTATTTGTAACATAGAATTCTATCTCTTTCATAATTTCAGAAGTTAATTTTTTATATTTAGATGTATATAACGCAATGTCTAGCTACATCTGATGATTATGTTTTTCTATGATACTTGTAATAGTAACAACCTCAGATGATTTTAGCTAAATCCCATGAATCATATGTAGTACCCACTGAGAGACAAAAGCTCTGTTCTATATCTGCAGGTGACTCTGTTATTTCATCTATTTCAGAAATTACTAACTTATCATTTATATTATTTGCAGTTTCAAGATCGATCAAAGAACTATGTGGTGATGTTGAAAAATTTATATCTGAAACTTCTAAAAAAGAAAAAAATATTTAGAAGTAACCAGCCTAATACTTTAATATTCCACAATGAATAATTCTACAAGCTCACCTTCCATAATTCTTTTGTAAACTTGTCATTAGAGATACAAACAGAAGATATATCGCTTTGTCAATAAAATCGCAGCAGCAAAAAAATATAGCAGAGCAAGAGAAAATAACAGAGCAAAAATAGCAGGACAAGAAAACACGACAAAGCAAAAGAACATGATGGAATTAGAGAATATAGTAGAGAAAGTGAATACAACAGAGCAAGAGAACTGGCAAAGCAAGAGAATTGGCAAAGCAAGAAGGAACAGCAGAGCAGAGTACACTGCAGTGAATAAGTATAAAATGAACCAAAAGCTGAATAAGAAAAAAAATGTAGCAGTGAAGGACTATAGAAATTAAGTTCGTCAATGGAGTAATAAAAAAACATGATGTGTCATCAAATATGTTCAAGAGTATCTAGAAAAGAAAAACCAGTAACGAAAGAAAAATAAGTAACGAAATAAGCAACTTAAACAATTAAAAAGTGATCAGGGTAAGCCAATGTTAGTAATACAAATATCTTAGAGAGATAAGTTAAAAATTGTTCTAACATGATCGATCAAGATTAGGTGTTAGTATTAAGCACTCAGATAATATACGTACATACCATATTGGTGACATAGATCTCTAGTTAGGTGTAATATAACACAATTTAGAAGATTCAAATAAATGTTTGTTTTGCCAAAATTACTCATAACTCAAAAATCAGCATAAGAAACCACCTTTAGTGTCCTAGTAAAAAAATTTTATTAGGCAATTTTATTATATAAACTCTCCTTCTCTAATTTCTAACCTACGCTCTAACCCTAATTTTAACGAGTTTTAAAATTTTTGCTACGTCACCAATCTGGTACACATAATCCAAGTGCTAGTATTAATCATGTGCCTATAGTGATTATCACTATGGGTGATTTTAATTATATTTCTATTTTAAAATTTAAAATATTTTGCAAAATATTTTAAAATATTTCAAAAATAATTTTGAAAAATTTAAGATAAAAATTATTTTACAATATTGTGAAATTTATTACAAAAATTTCAAAAATTGGCTTTTTGTTTTTACTTTCAATTTTATTTTTTTAGTTCACTTGTTTTTTTTCTTTTATAATATTTTGTTTTTTTTAATAGATATATTTTTAATCTTGCAAATCTTTATGCTTGTAATTTT